TGTGAATGTTTCCCAGAGATGGGTTGCGGCTGGAAGGGCATCCGCAGCGTAAAAACTGGCCGGATAAGTTGGCGGTTCATTCCACTGTGGCGACCCCGAATTAATAAAGGGACTAAGCCGACAAGAAAATGAATGAATAATTCACATCTGCAGCTGACATCAGAACAGCTGACATCAGCAGAAACCATCACTACTTCTCAAACGTCACTTATAAGCTAGTGTTTGAATGATTCTCGAGCATAATGTCTAAAGTGATGAAAAAACTGGTGATTTTGCTCACATTTTATGATTATAAGGCTGAACGGCGTGAAATGCCATCAATTTCCCAGTATTTCTCTATTGCAATTGGTATTTCACAGTAACTAACCGCATAAAACCAAAGCAAAGCAAACACTACTAGTTTGTGTGGTATAAATACAGCAATACAACATAAAAAAGAGAGAAATAGACTTAGAATGTCACTTAGCTGATGTATAATAATTTGCTCAGCTGTAGTTTGAAACTTACATTGAGAAAATGCTGAGTTTTTCTCCCTCTACGGACTTATTATGGGATCTCTGTTGCCATCTTGTGGCGGAATGTCAACCGTCACTTTCTTTGGTCTGCTCAGACAGGCTGATGGTGACCAGTGCACTGCACTCTGAAATTATGAATATTTTAAAAATATGCTCTATCCTTACAAATAAACAGCATAGTTGCAATCTAAACAACTAGACTCTCGACTAAAAGCCTAAAAAGTACATTGTTGTCCAACAGCATAAATATTTGTCAAACTGTAGAGTGTCCTTTGCTTGTCGCTATATGTGGACGGAGTAATACACAAGGGTGAAGAGGTTGTACGAGTTCTGTTATTTGCAGACTATTGCACAGCTATCAGTCAATCAGATTCAAGAACCAGACAGAACATTTTAGCAGTAGCCATAATGGGCTCTATGCACAGCTAGAGTTTTAAAGCCAAAGATAAACTTCCGGTGAAAACTTAATGTGACTTTTTTCAAGTTCACAAGGTTGTTTTAACAGCATCGATGTTGTAATGTAACTGCGATGCATTCAGTTCAATAGACTTTAGCATTCATTTAGTTGTTCAAGTGAAAAACAGGATGAAAGACTGTTGTAACCACTAGCACCCTCAGTTGCAACAGGCTACCACAGAAATTCCATTGAAAATACTGGGCTAAAATAAACTGTCTTATTTTAAAGACATTTCGGCAGAAATGTTATTTAATGCAGTGCTTCTTGTCTGGTCTGAGACCCACTTAATATTTTATATCAACAAGAAGATCGCTAATTGTTAAAGAAGTGAAATCTTAAATGTGACAATTTTGTAATGGCAAGACTCTCTGGGCTGCCTTACATAAAATTAATAGTCAGTGTGCATACAGTGCATCCGGAAAGTATTCATAGCACTTCACTTTTTCCACATTTTTTGTTACAGCCTTATTTTAAAATGGATTAAAGGCATTTATTTCCTCAAAATTCTACGCACAAAACCCCATAATGACAATGTGAAAAAAAGATTTTTAAAATTGTTGCAAATTTATTACAAATAAAAACCTGAAAAAAAAATCACATGTACATCAGTATTCACAGCCTTTGGTGTGAAGCTCTAAATTAAGCTCAGGTACATTCTGTTTCCACTGAACATTCTTGAGATGTTTCATCAGCTTAATTGGAGTTCACCTGTGGTAAATTAAACTATTATAAATTAAATAAAATTAAACTCTTTGGAGTGAATGCCAGGCGTTACAGTTAGAGAAAACCAGACACCACTCATCACCAGGCTAATACCATCCCTACAGTGAAGCATGGTGGTGGCAGCATCATGCTGTGGGGATGATTTTCAGCAGCAGAAACTGGAAGATAAGTCAGGATAGAGGGAAAGAGGAATGCAGCAATGTACAGAGACATTCTGAATGAAAACCTGCTTCATAGTGCTCTTGACCTCAGACTGGGGCGACAGTTCATCTTGAACCAGGACAATGACCCAAAGCACACCGCTAACATATCAATGGAGTGGCTTCACAACAACTCTGTGAATGTCCTTGAGTAGCCCAGCCAAACCCCAGACCTAAATCCTATTGAACATTTCTGGAGAGATCTGAAAATAGCTGTACACCGTCGCTTCTCATCCAACCTGACAGAGCTTGAGAGGTACTGCAATAAGGAATGGGCAAAAATTCCCAAAGACAGGAGTGCCAAGCTTGTGGCATCATATTCAAAAAGACTTGAGGCTGTAATTGCTGCTAAAGGTGCATCAACAAAGTATTGAGCAAAGGCTGTGAATACTTACGTGCATGTAATTTTACATCTTTTTTATTTTACATCAATTTCCAACAATTTAAAAAAACTCTTTTTTCACATTGTCATAATGGGGTTTCATGTGTAGAATTTTGAGGTAATAAATGAATTGAATCCGTTTTGGAATAAGGCTGTAACAAAAAAAAGTGAAAAAAGTGAAGCGCTATGAATGCTTTTATGAAGAACCCATTTACTACAGTAAAACAATGAGTGAAGTTGTGACAAACACAACACAACAGTAAAGCAGAGTTAAAATGAAAGTTAAAGAAACCTTTAATGGTGTCGAATTCTGAGGAGTAAATCCAGTACAAAAGAGCATTATTACCTCCTATTACAACCGAAACAGTTCAGAGCAATATACATATATTGTTATATACAGTATCACACTTTATTAAAATACCAACATTAAATAAGTACATATATTTATACCCTCAGGAGACGTATATATCCTCCCCCCACCAATATACTGTTCCCATATACTACACATTACAGTACCATAAAAGTGACCCTATGTAGGAACTAAGACTTTTGTATTTACAAGATTCCATATTGCAGAGGTTTTACGTTCACCTACATGAGATTTCCATTATTATATAGTGGGAATAAAAACACTATTGTGTGCACGCTCAGCAGAGCTCATGCAAAATCAGCATCTTAGATTTTAAGGGGTAGAGGGTAGATAAACGATTAAAGGGTAGATAAATAAATGCCAGGTCATCCCACAAATGAACCTTAGTATGAGATTTCAAAATAAACAATGAAATATTGTAAAAGGACAGTGCAAAAAGGCCACTATTTAATCAAATTGCAAAGCCCCAGCATATTGTACAGTATACAGTCCCTTACTTATAGGAGTCCCTTTTTAATCAATTTAAAGGGATAGTTCACGCAGAAATGAAAATTTACTGATTATTTATGAATTTCTTTGTTCTGTTGAACACAAAATAAGTCATTTTAAAGAGTGCTGGTAACCTGTAGCCATTTACTTACATAGTAAAAAAAAGTCAAAAGCTGCCGGTGTCCTGACATTTTATCCTACCTATAGACCAATTACCATGTTTGTAAACATTCAGGATGCGTGCGCAGAAAGAAAGAAACCGGGAGCATTTACAGCGAGGGAATGACATCCGATACAGTACAGAGTTTGTTGTTGACTTAGAAATAAGATATTGATTACACATTATATATGTTATTTACATAATGCTTTCAGCGTATTATAACAGCTCGTCACCCAGTGACAAGCACAGTGATTCGTTAAAATTAACGTTAAAGTGAGCGGCGTTCATCAGACAGGTCCATTTGCACTCTCCCAATAAATATTGCATAAGACGAAATGGCCGAGCATCCAGCCCCAAATATACAATCTCACTGAAGCTCCAAGTGATTTTACAAGAGAGAAGTTTAAGGTCTACAAGTCTTTGGATGCTAACAATGTTGTTCTGTGTGGTCATGTGCAAGAAATAATGCTCCATGATGACCAGATTCAACACTATGTAGTGCTAAAAACCGTGATTCTGCTTAGCCAAAGACAATGAAAGAAGACTGAGTTAACGTTATACAAGGTCTGAGTAATAATCACCAGCAAGCAAAACAACTGGATTCTGACAGCGAACTGCACCTGTAAGCCAGGGTATGTGAACCTACACATAGAGGTAAAGTTGGTTTTATATTCATACATTCAGACTTTTGTCCTTAATAATATAATTTTATAAAAGTATTATTTGCAAACTCTAAATAGTAAAATAATATTATCAGCCAATGACTATCAAAGTACAACATTGTTCACAGTCAAATTAACAGTGCTAATGTTGTTTTCAAGTCACACTTGCAGGTTATTTCGGACCCAATATTCAAAGTGCCGTGGTAAACAATATAGGGAGTGTGTCACAAGCTGTCACTGAATGAATGTGTGAATATAAAACCAAGTTCCCCTTAGCAACTTACACTTTCACAGTTCATTCTTTGCATTCAGTGTCCGCAGTTTAATTAACCATGTTTAACTGTTTTTGCCGAAATCAATTCTGCAATTAAAAACGAGTAATGGCGAGGCAGTGGCGCAGTAGGGTAGTGCTGTCGCCTCACAGCAAAAAAGGTCGCTGGGTCACTGCTTCGAACCTTGGCTCAGTTGGCGTTTCTATGTGGAGTTTGCATGTTCTCCCTGCCTTCGCGTGGGTTTCCTCCGGGTGCTCCGGTTTCCCCCACAGTCCAAAGACATGCGGTACAGGTGAATTGGGTAGGCTAAATTGTCCGTAGTGTGTGAATGTGTGTGTATGTTTCCCAGAGATGGGTTGCGGCTGGAAAGGCATCCGCTGCATAAAAACGTGCAGGATAAGTTGGCGGTTCATTCCGCTGTGGCAACCCCAGATTAATAAAGGGACTAAGCGGACAAGAAAATGAATGAATGAATGAATGGAAACGAGTAATGTGTATGACTTACCTGATATAACATGAGAACTGCAGAGTCCAGCATTTCTAATTAGTTTGTCACTTCATTCAGCTCCCTTTTAGCCAAAGACGTCTGCAGTTGGCAGTAAAGCAGTGTGGTGTATAGTAAAAGTTGCGTTTTCTATTTTTGCACTTTCGAAATTGGCATCCTACTGCACAACATGATATCTTTACTATTGCAGCCTGTCTCTTTTTGCACCGTGGACCCGTGCGATGTCATGTGTGACGTAGGTTGGTAATTGGTCTATTAGATTCTGCAACCAAAATGGTATTTTAATAGTTCTGAGGTTGGGTTAGGGATTAGGTAGGTTAGGGTGATATTACAGCTTCATATCACACTACTCCACATAAGAAGTTACATGGTAGCAAAATCTGATAAGTACCCTATTCTGTCATCAAAATGTGCTGCCTACTTTTGGAACGGGAGGTAGGACAATCTGACAAAGTAGAACAAATCGACAGAACACCGGTTTAGATTTCAGGGGAGAAATGAAACTCGATTTAGAAAAACTGGAGGGGGGGGGGGTTTGCTTTTGGTTTAACCGTCTCTTTAACCATGTGCATGTAATGCTTCTGATAGCAAGGGAATTTAAAAGTCAAATGAACTTCTACATACATGTATCTCAATTAGGGTTTTTACAATAACAATAGTACATCATCAAATAAAGTCCTTCTGATTGAAGTTTTGATCAGCTGATTAAAGAAGACATAAATACAGCACTATCTATGTGGATCTTCCAGAAAGTTTGACAAGTGTAACACTGGTTGAACTCCTGGCTCCTGCAGCCTCATTTGTCTATTAGGCTCTCCATTTTGGGGTTTATGAATGAAAAGCCAGCAAAGGCAGTCTGGTCCATGGAGTCTATCAGGTTCTTGTCGCTCTGAGAGAGACGGGGCTTCTCGCTGAGGAACTCACGGTCAAAGTTACTGCAGTCGCTGGAGGATTTCTGAAAGAGGAGAGAGATAAATGTCAGAAAACATTCCAGAAGACACTTCTAAGGAGTTACGCTTTATTTTCTGCATGGTGTGATGTGGACTGGATCACAAGATCACAGTGTTCTGCATTGCAAAAGTAGATTAAATAAATGTGACAAAGAACCCTCAAATAGCATTTTGGCTGGACAAAAAACACCCTTGAGGTCAGCAAGATTTTTTTTTAAAAAGAAGTCTTTTATATTCACCAAGGCTGACTTTTATTCAGTAAAAATACAGGAAATATAGTAAAAAAAAACTGAATATTGTGAAATATTATCAAAGCTTTTAAATATATATATTTTAATGTAAAAATCATTTCTGTGAGGACAAAAGTGATTATTTTAGTTCTCCATGATTTTTCAGAATTCATTCATTCATTATTGTGATAAAACTTTCAATATTGTGCTGCTTAATATTTTTGTGAGAACCAGGACTTTTTTTTTTGGTTCTTTAATTAATCCAAAGTTTTTAGGAGTCCCCTACATTTAAACTTTGACTTAAAAAATGATCTCTATGTTACATTTGGTGCAAATTAGGTACTATCTAAAAAGAAAACTCAAACAATTTGAAAAAAATTGCCATCCTTTAATCTGTTTCCTTAAGAAGCCTTGTGGAATAATGAATAATGCATCATTTCTGTAATATTTTAATATGCTTTGTCATCATACTCTGTTGTTCAAACAGGTCTTTGTAAACAAGTTCTTTGTTATGTGGGTGGGTTTTTATTTATTATAATGATTATCATATTGCTTTTACTTTTTTTTCTTTTCCTATGTTATATTGAAACAAAATATGTAAAACAGAATCCTTTTCTTTCTGAATCTGTCTTCAATAAAAACTTATTTAAAATAATCTTTTTAACAATATAAATGGCATTAAATGAATGAAAGGTGCTGTATGTAAACATGCCAAGTGAACATTCTAGTTTATCTGAAAAACAATGCAGAAGTCAGTTTTTTGCTTTAAAAATGTGTGCCGGAACGTCTGTCTTTGTTTTGCTCCTTTTAACCCGCTCACTGTCAGTTTAGCCAATTATAATTCGGCTCCCCAGGTTGCCTTGTTGGAAAACCAAAATGCGCCCTCCGTTAAATAGTAGCAGACTCCAAAATAAGACACAGATTCAGAATTCCGCATGAGGCAGTTATTAATTAGCAAATAATATAAATAATATGAGCGTAAACATTAGGTGAGCAGGTTACACTGTAACCTCTGTGTCCTAACAACACGCTACGTGACGAGATTTGCAGTAATGAGCAATTACGCTGTTTGCACCAGACAAAAAACAGAAATTTAAATACAGCCTTTCAGAAGCAAAATATGCACTCACTCAGGAAATGGTAAGGTTTATTATCTAAATAATACACATTAAACCTTATTAACATTATTAAATGTAAATGCCGAATCACTGATATGAGTTGGTTTTGAGTCACATTTCAAACTGCTTATTATTTTCAAGATTTGAGGTGAACCATCTGCTGTCCTCAATCTGGCACCCTGTGCTTGTGTTTGTTTTGAACCAGGAGTGCAATACCTAGTTTAACTACTGGGTGTCAAACTTACATGCTCCACCTTTAAAGCATGGTTGCTAAATTTATGTAATTATTATTAATAAAATCATGTGGTTTAACTTTTGTTACAGGCTTACAAAATTGCTTTCTGATTTAGATATTGTTTCATAAGATTTATAAGTTTCAGTTATTTTTTCATAAACTTTCAAAAAAAAAAAAAATGCAGAGCAGTAAGTGCTTCACACAGCCTGAAAAGAAAAGAGAACAATTTTTTTTAATCAAATTTCTCCACATTTCCCCAAATTATTATTAGCTCTTCTGTAGTTTAGCAATATTAGTATGAATAGTTTGACAATGATAGTATGAATAAAAAAATAAAACAACATGGGATGGTAAAATGTCAGAATATCAAATAGGTTGCTCATGTTTATTAAAAATGTGATCACGTATGGTGTGACGTGAATAATGTCTTAAACTTGAATAAACTGTTCAGCAATTTCTGAAACACTTTTTCCATTGTAAAGCTTACTCTTATCTCATCAGATTAAGGTAAATTTGATTCCTTATGACATCATATGACCCTGTTAAAAGAAACTCGCTGTTAAAACTGTAATGTCATCATAAGAACACAGATAAGGCTTATGTTATTAGTTTATCATTAACTTTTTACAAATTTTACTACACTAGTTAAACATTTATGACAAGATGTTTTACTATTGCATTTCCTTTTAGAGTGTATCATGTGAAATAAGCTGTCAAATAAACTGCTTTGTCTTATTACATTATTATTGCATGATGCAAGGAATCAGATTCAATCATAAAGACGTGAATGTAGATGAAGTATTGTGTGTAAATTTGTAAAGTATTTGAACATTTAAGGTTGTTGGTAGGTTCTAAAATAAAAACAAATAATCAATTTACTCAAAAGATGATTTAACTGATAATTGCTTTCTACTGGTCTTTTTTATATAAAGTTTAATGTAGACATGTTACATTTAAATAATTATGTAGTGGAATTATGTGGAAGTATTGAAATAACCGTATTTGTCCTGAATAGGCAGTTTGACTGAGTAGACGACATGTAACAAGATCCAATACTGACACAGTCATTTGACAGTCTGCTGAAAAACAAAATTCCTTATTCTTTCTCCATGTATCTTTAGATTATGAAAGAGCTTTGCGTTTATATTTTTTAAGTCTTATTTTTGTCATTTTGAGCTTTTTATATTTCTATTTGACTAACAATATTATAAAACATAAATTTATAATATACATTATAAATTCCAACAAATTTATTTTATTTCAGACAGTTGGTTAGGCAGCCTTTAAATATGGTTTAATTATATAATTAAGTATAAATACAGTTGAAGCCAAAATTATTTGTAAATTTTTTTTTTAATTTTCCAAATATGTTTAATAGACCTAGACATTTTTTTCACAGTATTTCCTATAGTACTTTATATTCTGGAAAAAGTCTTATTTGTTTTAGGTTAGCTGGAATAATAGCAGTTTAATTTTTTAACTATTCTTAAGGGTCATATTATAATAGTATTAGCCTACTTGAAGGTCCAGTAAAGTGATTTGAAATGTGCATTTTTATTTAATGTTTGACGTAATTTCAACTGAAATTGAAATTGCTCCTCTCCTTTTTAAGAAACAACCAATAGCGTTTTGTTTTATCAGCGCTCTGCCATTAAGAGTGGTTGAGCTCAAGCAGATCAAATGAAAAGCAAATGAAAAGCATCTTAAAGGGGGTGGGGCATGTCAGATACTAGAGAGTATTTGATTGGCCACAATTTGATGAGAAACTAAAGGTGATGTGAATAAAACAATTGGTCCATTTAATCTACAAGCTTTACATGTTTATATCAGTTTTTTATCTTATAAATGTGAATTCTGTCACTGTTTTGGAGCACACTAGATTCCAGATTTCTTAAAAACTAACAATACTGATACTAACATCTGAAAAAATTTATTTTAATTTCTTGGGACCTTTAAGAATATTTTTTCCCATTGGCTACAGAACAAATCACTTTTGTACAACGGCAGAATGGCTTGCCTAATTAATAGTACTAATTAGCCTAGTTAAGCCTTTAAAATAGTCATAGTAAAATATTATGTACTATATGCATGTTATATGTATATTATGTATATATTATATATGTTATTAAGGCAAAGACAGAGCTATTAAAAATTAATTAATAAAACAATTATATGTAAAGATCTGTTGAAAAACAAAGTGCTGTTTAATGGAGAAAATATTTTAACACATTTTTAAACATACTAGTTTTAATAAATATGTTCTAATAGCTACAAGTATTCAGCTTAATGTTCACTAAAAGACTTAACTGGGTTTATTACAATAACTAGGCAAGTTGGTTTATTTAAATAATTTTAGGAGGGCTAATAATATTGATTGACCATAGTACTTTTTAATTTATATTTATTAATATTATTAATATTCCAACAAATCTCCTGCGTAAAACATATGCTTGATAAGTAGGTGGTTTATTCTGCTAAAACGACCCCTGATTAATAAAGGGACTACGCTGCAAAGAAAATGGATAAATGAATAAATTATTCTTTCCCAGAGATGGGTTGCCGCTGCATAAAAACGTGCTAGATAAGTTGGCGGTTCATTCCGCTGTGGCGACCCTGGATTTATAAATGGACTAAGCCGATAAGTACTTTCTAAGCCAAGAAAATGAATGAATGAATAAATCATTCCAACATAATAAAAATTGAAAAGATTTTCTACAGAATAAATATATAATTGTTAATACTGTGAAAAATATCTTTATTAAACAGCATTTGGCAAATATTTTGAAAAGAAGGCTAATAAGTTTCACTGAATTTTCTAAAACAGTCTTCTACTGTTCATACAAACACAGATAAACAGACACGCACTGTTTCAATGTTTGTTGAAATGAGATCAGAATCGTACCACTTTTGGCTTGAACGGAGGAGACACCTCTCGTTTCTCCAGCGCTGGCCAGTTGATTGTCTTGAAGAAAGCATGTCCACGAATATTTCCCACAACACCTAGTCGCCGGGTCGGATCGCGCTCAAATAACTGCAAATGTAAAAGCCACAGATTTCAATTTTTACACCCTAAATTTCCCAAAAGGCTGTCAGACCACCACAAGTCAGTGACTCCATAATAAAGCCTCAGAGCTGACAGCATTCATGAGGAAAAAGCAGACTCACTTTCTCCAGCAGGTCTTTGGCCTCTTTGGTGATCCAGCGGGGATAGTGTGGGACGTCCATGCGGATGGAGTCGAACAGCTCATCTTCATCATCGCCCTGGAACGGCGACTGTCCGATCAGCATTTCGTAGAGCAGCACACCGAATGACCACCAGTCCACAGAGAAACTGTACTTCTGTCCCAGCAGGATCTCTGGAGCAATGTAATCTGGTGTGCCACAGAAGGTGGTGGCTCGGTTTTCTCCAATCATGTTTTCTTTGCACATCCCAAAGTCTGCTATCTTGATATGTCCATCCTTGTCCAGCATCACATTGTCCAGCTTTAAATCTCTGATTGGGTTGGAAAACAGACAAGACATCAGTATGAGAGTTATACTGTAATTCATTCTGTCTTGTGGTTTGGTTAAACCTTTTTTTACAGTTGTTTTGTATGAGAAGGAGTTTGTTTTTGGTAAACTGCTTGCATTTATTATTATATAATCAGCTGGGAGACTTTTCTTCCAAAGCAGCTTACAAATGAGAACAATAGAAGTAATCAAAGCAACAAAAGAACAAAAAAATGCAAATAATATGATCATTTCTAGTTAGACTAACATGGAATACCATTTTTATGTATACATATCTTTCAGAATTGAGTTTAATATGATTATTTGCTGCTTAAGAAAGGTATATTTATACGCATATTTTTTCCCCAATTTCTGTTTATCGGAAAGATTTTTTTCAACACATTTCTAAACATAGTTTTAATAACTAATTTCTAGTAACTGAATTATTTTATCCTACAGTACATAATATTTTACTAAATATTTTTCAAGATGCTAGTATACAGTCTAAAGTGTCATTTAAAGGTTTAACTATGTTAGGGTAATTAGTAGGGGTGTAACGGTTCACAAAAATCACAGTGGTGACAGTGGTGTCACGGTTCGGTATGTTTTCGATACAGCAAAAAAAAGAAAAAAGCCAGAAGATTTCTCTGATTTAAATTTTTATGTATGAAAACATCATAAAAGTATGATCTTGATTTTTTTCTCTTTTACTTTAAACTGTGATAGAGCTATACTTCTGGGGTTTCTGCTTGGCATCAAATAAAACAAATCATTCTTTATGCTCAAAACCAAAAAGCAGCTTATAAAAAAATAAATGTAAATTTGTAGCAGTTAAACAAATAAAAAGAAAAGAACAATTTAGTTTTTAAGTGGAACTCAGTTTTAATCTATTTTTAAGTATTTTTATTATTTTCAGGAGGATGAGTGTCCACCTTTTCTTCAGACTGCACAGATCTGCTTGATATGTCACCTGCCATTTTAGTGCATATGAAAGCAGGAATTATCTGACTGAAATAAACTTCCGGGAGACATGGGATGTCTGGGATTACATTAACGTTACTTGTCATTTTGCAAGCTAATGCCTGACTGGAGTAGTGTTTGGAGGTGGACGGGTGTGTTGATATGTGAACAGGTTATTGAGATTGGCTGTTTTGTATCAGAGTCCAGGGGCGGAGCCAGCACGAGCAGGCTGACACAGAAGCCAGCTAGATTGCTAATGAGTGCATGCTTTAATAAAGTGATATTCTGAGTTTAAAACCGATAGTCTACTGTTTAAAATGACAGCGGAGAAGGCAGCATGTTGTCTGCCACGTCATTTGGGATGGCATGTTGAGCGTTGTTGCACTAAAAACATTATATTTTGTACTTATTCCCTTTTATCTTTTTAGATGTTAGTCTGAATCGAATCGTTCCGTTTGTAATGCGTACTGAACCAAAAGTCTCGTACCGAACGGTTCAATACAAATACACGTATCGTTACACCCTTGGTAATTATGCAAATCATTGTATAATGATTGTTTGCTCTGTAGACTATCCCTAAACTGCATTAGGAAGCTAATAATATTGACCTAAAATGGTGTTTAAAAAATTAAAAACTGCTTTTATTCGAGCAAAAATAAAACAAATAAGACTTACTTCACAAAAAAATATTACAGGAAATACTGTGACAAATTCTTACTTTGTTAAACATCATTTGTGAAATATTTTTTAAAAGAAAACTAATTCACAGGAGGGTAAATAATTCTAACTTCAACTATATATTACCCAAGTGCTGCCTAACAGAGAGATTTTCTTCAACACATTTTTAAATATAATTAGTATTAATAACAAATTTCTTATAGCTAGCTATTTCTCAAGATACAAGTATTGAGCTTAAAGTGCAGTTTAAATGTTTAACTAGGTTAATTAGATTAACTAAGCAAGTTTGGTTAATTAGGCAATTTGTTTGACAACGGTGGTTCTGTAAAAAGAAAAAAACTTAAAGGAGCTGATAATATTTACAGTAGCAACTTCAAAATACAATTGTAAACATATTTCCCAGCCAATCTAAAAGAAATAAGACTTTCTACAGAAAATAATATTAAAAGAAATATTGTGAAAAATTCTCTTCCTCTAATAAACCTCACTTACAAAGAATTACACTGTATATGTATATTTAAAAAAAAAAGAAAAAAGGTTAAATGGTCTTGATAAAAAAAAAAAATACATGTGTTATTCATCATCACAATTTGAACACAATAGCATGATGATATTGAAAAAGAATGGGAAACTAATTTCTACTAAAGGAAACGTTTAGTATTTTGCCCTAACAACATCCTTTTGGAACCTGTCCAGTAAGTTTAGATCTACCTGTTCTACCTTCAATTGTCATAGCTTTACAGTAAAGCATGCTTTGGGAAATAACATCAAGAAATATTTTAAAACTCAAACCTCTATAACAAATTAAATTGAACATTATTTAACTTCCAGTAAACCTGTTAAATGTCTTCTTTTTAGAGCTCCAAAATCACTGATTGCTCAAAAATCCCCTTAAAATACAAACTACTAAATAAAACATTTGGAACTAGAGTACATAATAATAATCTTTTAAACAAAACAAAATAATACAATATAACATGTATAATACAACATGCTATGTTTCGTGCACAAAAAAAAGTCTATCATGTTGTTTTAAGTCTTTATAAGATATTCTGTAGAATGCCAGTTGATGGTAACCATTGACTTGCACAGTAGGGAAAAAATGGGTACCAGGAACAATCATTCTTCAAAATATCTTATTTTGTGTTCTTCAAAAAAAAAAATCTCAAATAAGTTTTGTCCAAGTGAAAAATGAGTAAAAGGTGAACTATCACAATCATCAAGCATCTTACCGATATACAATGCCTTTAGAGTGCAGATACTGTAGTCCACAGATGATTTCAGCAGCATAAAACCTGTGGCAAAACCAACATTTCTTAAAAAAGAAAATTAAATTAAAGAAAGTATGCTAGAGTAAAGAATTAACTATTTGGAGATTATTTATTTAGAAGGTATGTCACTCACGTGGCTCTGTACAAATCAAAGCGGCCCTTATCCTGAATGTGGAACATCAGATCTCCTCCATTCAGATACTCCATCACAAAAAACAAGTGCTCCTGTTGATGATAAAAACACATTCCTTTAGAGATGGTGCAATATGACTATGTTTGACTGGTGGGGGAAACTACAGCACATTACTCAAAAGCACATTATGTTCCACAGATATTTGAATGAGTCTCTCAAAGGGATATTTCACACACTCACTCTTTACTTATTCAAAACCGATTTGAGTTGAACACAAAAGACAATTTTTTGAAAAATGCTGGTTGCTGGCACCTATTATTTATATTCCATGTTTTTTTTTATTTTCCTACTATATAAAGTCAACGGGCAACCAGCATTCTTCAAAATGTCTTCTTTGTTCATCAAATGAAAGAAACTCAAAGGTTTAAAACCACATGAGGGTGAATAAATAATGATATAATATTTTTTTTGTGGTGAACTAACCCTTTAAATTAAAAAGTTAAAGTAACTTCACATAGTTCCAAGTCCCAACGTGTACAATCACATAGATTTGCATATTGTCAAGACTGTATGTTCAAGCTGTCAAACAGATCACAACTGTGTGTCATTTAAGGATGACGTATTGTTCAAATGTCACGACAACACCAGCATATGTAATAGGGGAAAACGAGTTCTTCAACATACATTGTGGTAAAAAAAACAAGGCTTTGTTTTCAAATATGCTTTGCTGTAGTGTTGATTTACGTCATTGCCAGGAACAGAGATTACTTTGCAGGACCACATTCCTAATCTCCGAGTATGTCTACATAATTTCTGCTAACAAAACAAAAAGTCTTCTGTATTTGGTGTGCATGTGTTTGTATACAGTAATCAATATTTGAAGTGCATCAAAACTCAAATAGTCTTAAAGCAAGAATATTTGTTATTGAATAGTTTTAGGACATTTCAAATGCAGACGACTGTATACTTGCATGTATAGACCACTTTGAGAAACATAAAAAAAGCAATGGTCCCAATGTATTTCCTGTTTTACATATTTAATTTCTGTGGCTTCCGAGAATTCAAAAACAGCCACATATTGATAAATAATGTTATGATAGCTGTTCTAACATTAAGTTATGATTGAATTGCCTCTTGTTACTGTTATGAAATGATTAACAAAAAGAAAATGTTCATGGGCCAGTGACATGACCACATTGAAATGATCTGTGAAAAGTTTAGTGTTTATTAGATTGTTTATATATTTTATTACTATTATCATAGATTTTTAATGTTATTTTTATTAAGTCTCCTATGCACGCTGGATTTAATAAGTCCAAAATACTCAAACATTTATTATCCTCAATTTTTAAAAACAAGTGTAATGCTTAATATTTTTGTAGAAGCTGTGATCCATTTTAGAAAACATTTCCAGTGATATTAATTAATGTAAAAACACATAAGAAGTGATATTATATGCATTTAAAAATATATAAATGATTATGTTACAAAATCACATTTTACTCTCTGAGGTTTGGGCACAAAAAATGTGCATTTTTAATTTTAATTTTTAATTAATTTATACAGAACTATTGTATATTACTACAGTATTTAAGGCAAGTACATTATAAGTGATTGTAATTCATTCATTTTCTTGTCGGCTTAGTCCCTTTATTAATCCGGGGCAGCCACAGCCGAATGAACCCCCGACTCATCCAGCAAATTTTTCCGCAGCGGATGCCCTTCCAGCCGCAACCTATCACTGGGAAACATCCACACACACATTCATACACTACGGACAATTTAGCCTACCCAATTCATCTGTACCGCATGTCTTTGGACTGTGGGGGAAACCGGAGCACCCGGAGGAAACCCACGCGAACGCAGGGAGAACATGCAAACTCCACACAGAAACGCCAACTGAGCCGAGGCTCGAACCAGCGACCCAGTGACCTTCTTGCTGTGAGGCGACAGCACTACCCTACTGCGCCACTGCTTCGGCCGTGATTGTAATTAAATTACTTAAAATATATACTTATATAATATTATACTTATGCTAAAAATATACTTAAAATAATATTTAAATGGTGGTTTATTTCGCTGTGGTGACCACTGAAATGAAGACTGAATGAATAGTAACATAATAAAATGAAAAGAAGTTACTTTTTCTGAAGTCAAGTAATTATCTAATTACACCCAACCTTCATGACAAGTCAATATTGTAGGTCTAATGCAGTTCTAAAAGTCACTATTGATTAACGCTGAATCAAAGTTAAGAATGGCAGCACATGATTTTATTTTACATCAACACTCACCTTTGACTGAAAAGTGCAATAGAGGTGTGTGAGGAAAGGGTTTTCCCAGGCTAAAGCTAACACTCGTTTCTCCACCATTGTACACTCCACATCATCATCCATCAGCACCACATCTTTCTTCAGGGCCTTTATGGCAAAATATTGCCCCTTTCCTTTGAGTTCAGCGAGCATCACCTAACATGACACAGACATTTCTAAAAGACTGACTTCATAATATTTCAATGCAGAGAAAAAGTAAACGTTGTGTTTCTTACCTTTCCAAAGCTGCCTTTGCCCAGCACCTTCTGGAACACAAAGTCGTTCAAGGAGACGCGAACTGTGGAGACAATGGTGCTGGCGGGGACAGCTGGCGTGATGTCCCAGAATTTCCCATACTGAGAGCCCTCCGCTAATATTTGTACACATATGAACACAGCGCTATTATTATTATTATTTTAAAAATTAAACATAAAAATGACAAAATACAGAAAACTAAAAGTTGCTTTATTTTACAGCTATAAAGGCAATAAAATAGCTAAAATGGAAATAAGCCTTAATATATTTTATATAAATAGAATTTTATGTGGGACAACGAGATGTCCTAAATTCAAAACTGACAAAAGTAATTTAATATACAAAGAAAGCTTTTAAATGAAATGAATGAATGTTTCAAATTATATATTTTTTTTAAATCAGATTAAATCAAATCTAAATATGGGTGAAATCATGTACAATAGTTAATCAAATTAACAAATATAATTATGCTAAAAAAAGAAACAACAACACTAATTGTGGCAAGCATTTATTAAAATATGTCAAACCTAGAGGTTTTAAATATAATGGAAAAGTATAATAAGATTTAAAATGACAATAATTAGTATTTTTCTTAAAAAAAAAATTCCATCTCAACAAATTATTATTTCTTATTAATATGGCTAAAACATTAAGCATTTTTATACTGAATGTCATTATAGTTAGTCTCTATAGTAAATCATGGTAAAATATATGATAGTTGTCATTTTTTAACTCAGATAAAAATAAACAGCACACATACTTTTATATGAAAATAATTAAAGCTGTAATATACTATTATTGTTTTAAACCTAAAACTCCCTTTTCATCTTTAACCCATAAAAAATTAAATGTAAAAAAACAAAATTACTACAAATTACAAACATAAAAATAAAAAAAAATAAATTAAACATGAATAAAAACTAAATGTTAAACAGAATTTCAATATTAAAATGACCCCTGTTACACAATTCTCTTCTTTGTATTTTAATGTTTTCTTAAGATTCAGTTCCCACATGAAGTGAATTTGAAAGAAAGAGACATCATAAGTCTGCTAAAATGACATGACACCAGTCATGTAAAAGCGGCAAAATTTTGCATCACAGTTTGCATATAAATAAATAAAAAACTGTAAAATAACTGTATGAACATTATTTCTGTGGCACTATTCATATAACCAAAGTTAATCAAATAAAAGGTATCAAAGCTAAAGTGAGCAATAGTGCAGCAGGGAAAATGCAGTAATGCTAACTCACCACTAGGGTCCGCTGGCACATTTTTGTCTATGGCTTGATAGATTCCAATTTCTGACAGAGTGGGATCTGGACGCTTTGTAGAAGATTTCTAAACGATGAATGAGAAGAACAAACATTTTTTATTACATATAAATACTACACAGAACATAAGTCAAACGTCATTTTACAAATGAAAATACATCTCAATGTAATCTTTTATATTTATAAAATTTTAACTATTTCACTAGGACAACTGCCTAAACCGCGTACCAGGCTAACTTGATTCAAGGCCTCGGCTAGGAGCTTCTGGTTGATTCCGCAGAGGTTGGCAACCTTTGTCTGGCATTTATGATGGACATTCATGCCACAATCTGAATCAAAAGTGTGAGATGCATTATAAAAGAGAAAAAACATTAGAAAAAAGGAAAACAGATGAAAGATGAGCATTAATAAAACTACATCTCTCCTACCTTCACATTTAAGGCCTTGTTTAACCATTCCCCACAGTAGACTCCCACAGTGGTCACAGAAAGTGGGGCTCATGTAGTTATTTGTCTTGAAGCGATGTGGCATGTCGATCTTAAAGCGCTCCTTCTGGAACTGCAGATGAATAAAGAGACCATCAGCACCAGATTTAATGTAGATTCTTCTGGGGAAAGATGCACCTCTAAAACACCTCAAGGTGCCTTTCTTGTAGAAGATCTCAGTAGCCTCCATGACCGCAGAAATGTTCACTGACAGGGAAAAACATTGCTAGTGTTCAAGTAAAAATGGCCTGTGTTTGAATTCAGTGAGGCTGAAACAGGCATTTTGGCCACAGGACTGCTTCCCTTTATATGCCATGGCCTTCTATTGATTACTGACAGACTCTGATCCTTGCTCTGCTCTCAAATGGTATTGGAAACAGGAGGATCGAACCCTTGGAACTCCAAGTGAACTTTACTTAAAATGTCCTTGTTAATTTGTGATCATCTCACAAATCTCATCGTACACCATACTAATTAAACTGAAATGTTTTATATTTGTTAAGACATTTACAGTGCACATCCATAAAGAAGTCATATATTTTTTTACAATAGAAATTTTACTCAATTCTAATAGAAATTTTCAAATTAACAAAATTATTGTAATTTTTTTAATAGAAATTCATGGTTTTTCCATAAAATGTTTATTTTTGCTGAACATTATTATTGTGTTGTCTAAATATAAATAATAAATGTGTAAATTTAGCTTAAGTTTAGACACCTAATAACAAACTAATAAACAGTCCATAATTAACAAAAAAAATATGCACAGCATGCAAAATGCACATAAAACTCAGAATTAATAAACTGACCTAAAAATTTGTATTAAAAAAAAAAAAAAAAAAAAAAAAAAAAAAATATATATATATATATATATATATATATATATATATATATATATATACATACATACATACATACATACATACATACATACATACATACATACATACATACAGCTGGATTTTCTAAATGATGCTTAACAGAGCAAGGAAATTTTCATAGGATGTCTAATAATATTTTTTCTTCAGGAGAAAGTCTTATTTGTTTTATTTTGGCTAGAATAAACGTTTTTAATTGTTTTCATCATTATACAATAACTTGCCTAATGACCCTAACCTGCCTAGTTACCTAATTAACCTAGTTAAGCCTTCAAATGTTACTTTAAACTGTATAAAGTGCCTTGAAAAATATCTAGTCAAATATTATTTACTGTCATCATGGCAAAGATAAAATATATCAGTTATTAGGAATGAGTTATCATGTTTAGAAATGTGTTAAAAAAATCTTTTCTCTGTTAAACAGAAATTGGGGAAAAAATAAACAGGGGGGCTGATAATTCAGGGGGTTAATAATTATGATTGCAACTGTACACGTCACATTTTTAAAATTTTTGTCCAAAACGTAATATTATCTTATAATTTAGTCACCCTCAAGTTATATATGTCAATAGGCCTTAATACATTCAGATAAAGGAGTCTTTAAATCTTGCACATCAGTCCATCAGAAATAAATAAATTTATGTTTAAAACTTTATAATCTATAAATCACCAGCTTCTTCTAAGTATGGATATTATGCCTACGAGAAAAAAACATCACTGAAGCTGTGTGGATTACTTTAATGGTAGACAGATTAAAGCACTTTTTGAGCACCAATCACTGCCATTAAAAATAGGAAAAGCCAGGATATTATTTTATAAATTCCATATTTAATACTGTTTTAGAGAGGGTCTGCATATAAACCTAGGATGACTTGAGGATGAGTGATTTATTGTGTCAATTCCTCTTTTATGATTGAACTATTCCCTTAAACAAACAAATCAAATCATTATTAACATTTCTTAACATTATTCATCATAATAACTTTAATTAAAATTGTATTAATAGTAATTAATGTAAGATTAAAATTGTTTTCATATGTTTACAGACCCATTTTTATGACCCCTGATGAAGTGCTTTAGAGTTTTAGGACATTAATGCTTACCATTGTATCTCGACTGTTGGTTGCCGTTCCTGTGCATCTCCCAATAATCTTATCAATACACTTCTTATGAATTGCTGCATTGCATTCTGGAAAAGAAAGGCAGCAAGGTGTTATGTGTGCAAATTTCCTCATGACCAGAGCCAGACAGGAAAAAAAAATCTGTGTATTTATGCTGAATGATTTCGACAGTATATTAACTAAAAAGTAATACCCAATATAAAAAATTATAACTTTTTATGTTTATTAAGGTTTTCAATGCATTGGAATTTCTAATACAAATAAAATTAAAATAATCCACTTGATGGGTTAACAAAGCCTCTCATATATAAGATATTTACTAAAAGAGACTAAGAGATACTATGAGATATAACATATCTACTAAAAGAGAAATACAAACTGTATTTTTACCTAAATTATCTAAACATTAGCATGTTATTGATAATATTACTGAAATTCATATAAAAACTGAATAAATATATATTTACACATTTACACGAGTAGATTCCATGGGGGCCAAATCATGACTAATTCAAAAGTACAAAACTTCTTATTAAAACAGGCTTCAAAAGGGGCCATTATATTAATTTCCCAGAGGATAATGATTTATGTGAAAGCTGAAACTTGTGAAATGTTATAATGAAATCTGATGTTCAGTGAACTAGCATGCACTGCACTATATTGTGTGTTCTTGCTGAGAAAAAGACGGGAGTGTCTACAGTAATTAAAGAAAACTGTGATACTTACGCCTACATTTGTAGCCCTGCTTGTTGAGACCCCTGGAATGCAAAAAGAGTGTGTTGGAATATTGATATTTCAGCACAGCATGTGATAATGCACTGTTAGTATACATGTAAAACTCTTATTAGGGAGACTTTGGAGCACTGACTCTCCTCCGGCACATATAGATTGATATGCAATGCACTAAAGCCGGGCAATCTGTCTCACACTGCACAGGAAGGAGACGAGCCCGAGGGACTGTGCTGAGGCGGGTGAAATATCAGAGGAAAGTCCAAGTACGCTTGCGCACACTAACACAGATGCTATCCAATACTATGGCTTACGAACACAAACACACACACACACACACACACACACACACACACACACACACACACACACACATACACATCAAGATTATTCCTGCCAAATGCTTCTGTTTGCCTAAGATAACTTTCACTTGATTTCAGGCCTACATGAGAAGCAAGTTTGACATTTTTTTTATTATTTTAATGCATCTAAAGCTATTGACTATTTATGAGGCACTTTTTTCATTTAAAGTGGCTAATCTCGATGGATCCCATCTCCCTGGACGAACCGGTTATAGCGTGGCAATTAGATAACTGAGCTTCACTTTGACTGAGAAGTACCTTGCTTAAGGGCACATCAGAGCTGCGTTGTAATCTCAGTAATTCTCCAGTTTCTGGGTCATTTCAATTTGGCATTGAACCTGCAACCTTTGTTTCTGAATTGTAGATCTCAAACCATAACAACTGCCTTTATCTTTTAACAAGCAATGTTGTTGTTTATACTTGTGGCTTTGGTTTTGAACAAGCTCCAAATAATTTGTTTTCAAGTGTTATGCTTGTAGATTTTCCTGCACTGTAGTGTTGAGGACCAGAGGTGCTCCTTAGTAAAATATTACAGATTAATCCATAAATAATAATGGAGACTAACCTTGGAATAATCTTCTCTTTCAGCAAAGTCATGTTTGTTTTCTGTCAGAGTAATGGCAGGCTCTTGGACCAATCACTAATCGATTAAATAGCTTTGTCAGTCTAAGGTTCAGTTTGGTTCATTGAGACGGTTCAATTATGCAGAGAATCTTAAAGGGGTAGTTCATTTAAAAATGTAAATTTACTCACTTATTTACTCCCCGTGTCAAATTCTTATAAATGTTCTGCTGAACAATAAAGAAGGTATTTTTAGATAGCTAAAAACCTGTAACAATTGACTTCCATTTTAGGAAACAAATACTATGAAAGTCAGTGGTTATAGGTTTCCAACATTTTTCTAAATATCTTCTTTTGTGTTCAACAGAAGAAAAAAATCTCAACTAGGTGAACTATCCATGTAAAGTGTATTAGTAACTGGATATTTATAGCAGAAAACAAAAATATTGCTGGATGAGGCGAATATTTACTAATAATGCACTGTAGGTAAAAAAAAACTGCAGACATTATCTAACTATTGTCAACACTGAAGCACCTGTTTACTGTGCATGTATGACATCTTTGTCAGTATGGCAGATATATTTTTATATATAGTTGAAGTCAGAATGATTAGCCCTCCTGAATTATTAGCCCCCCTGTTTATTTTTGTCCTCAATTTCTGTTTAACGGAGAGATTTTTTTATACACATTACTAAACATAATTGTTTTAATAACTAATTTCCTGAAGAAATAATATTATCAGACATGCTGTAAAATTTCCTTTTTCTGTTAAACATCATTTGGGAAATATTTGAAAAAGAAAAAAAAATTCAAAGGGCGGGCTAATAATTCTGACTCCAACTGTATATAGATTTTATAAAGTATATATATATATATATATATTCATCCAAAACACTGTCAAAAATATGACACCTAATTATACATATATTATACAAAAAAGGGGAAGATCATCATATCAAATTTATGTCTAGCGATCATAATAAGAACAGGAAATTTTAATTGACTAAAAAAAGAAAATAAATAAAAAAAAATCACCCTTACAACCGCATCGCAATGTCATACAACAACAAATGATGGCAAATTTCTTCTAAACATCTTGTTGTTGCATAGCTCTGTTTTGCTGTTAGTGTATGCACACAATTTTTAGACATGAGTTGATCATGGTGAGATAATCATATTTGTTCATTCATTCATTTATTTATTGTACTAACCACACAAACTCCCTGCAGACGGAACAGAAGGTGGGCTGTTTGAAGAAGGTGGCTGTGAACTCGTGGTTCTTGATAAAGTGAACCTTGGCCTGTTTGATGGCTCCTCTCCTTCTGTTTATCGTGAGGATACCGTCGTCATCTTTTGCAGTCATTGAGGCCTTTGAGTCTGTAAAGCAGGTTAAAATAAAGTTTTTGAAATATATATATATATATATATATATATATATATATATATATATATATATATATATATATATATATATATATTGAAAATAAGAACACAATACTTTAACAAAATTTCACCAAGTTTAAAAATCTACTTACTATAGCTTCTTTTCTTTCACAAAATAAAAACAAACTTTTTTCCCCATAGCGCTGACTTTTTTGTCATAATTTCAATTTCAGCTTTATTTAAAAAAATTTTAATATAAACCTGTCTATTAAAAACCCCATATTTGTGAGATTACACAGTAAAATAATAAATAAAGATTAAATAAAGTAAAACAGAACACAATGTGGAGTTTCCACTCTGCTAAATAGCATCGTGCTTTGCAGCAAAACCATATGTGCAAATTATGGAAAATTAAAAAAAAACTTATTTATAACAGTATTTACAATAATGTTTCAGCAGCTAACGTTAGTTAATGTAATTATTAACATGATCTAATAAGGAACAATACCTGTACTTTTATTCATCATAGTTCAACATTTACTAATGCATTATTAAAATGCTAATTCACGCTCGCTACCATTAGTTAATGCACTGTGAGTTAGCATAAACTAACAATGATCATATAACTTATGCAAAAAATTTGACTTCAATGGCTTTGTGCGATGAAATACATTTATTATATGTGGTTCATATTAACATTAGGTTTACAGTTCCTTCAGCCTTTTTATAGATATTATCAGCTCATTTCCTGCAGTGTTTTACCAGCAAAGCTAAACAAAACTCATAGGCTGAGATTGATGGTTTGCCCTCTGTCACAGAAAGCATGTCACAATCTTTGACATCAGTTATTGCTGGGGTTAAAAGACTAATCATTAGATCGCTGGGACAATGTATATCTGTTCTGACAGTACAGTAACAACCAGTAGCATATTGTGAGGTATAAAAAGGGCATATGATATAACGTCAAAAGAAAGATGACACAAAATACCAGCATGAAAATATGACTAAGACAGCATGAGTAAGCAAAGACAGATACCAGTTGACAGATCTGAGCTAGTATATGAGGGTGGTGAGATCATGGAAAAAGCTTAGACTGAATATAAAGAAACAGAGAAAAACCCAAGTCGAAAATAGAGAAGCAAAAGGAAGACATGCTACATATAGGGCCTGTAAAGATTTAAATGAAGGTTTTGAAAATGTTAGTTTTAGCTAATCTGAGGCAGAGCTTCATTTAGATTAGATTATTTGGTTCACTGTTTAATTCATCTACTTCTAAAATAGATGGATATAAACAACATTCAGGAGAGATTTGGGGTCAGTACTTTTTAGGTAAGGGTATATTACATTGAACAAAAGCAATAGCAAAGAGTTTTACAATGTTAGTTCTGTAATTTCGGTTTCAAATAAATGCTGTTTTTTATTTATTTTACATTTATTCAACAATTCTGTGAAAAGAAAAAATGATCACAGTTTCTTTTTTGAATGCCAAATCTGCATATCTGAATGACTTTTGAAAGAACATGCTGAGCCTTGCCATCAAAGAATTTAATTACATTTATATTACAAATATGTTCTCACATTTTTTATATATTGTAATAATAGCAAACATATGATGATGTTCAGTAATTCAATGTATCCTGATAAAAAACATAGGCAATATTAGAATTGCAAGCACTTCAACATACAGTGAATAATTGTTTATTATTTAAACTTTTACAGTGTCTTTTCATGAACATTCAGATTGTTGTATTGCCAGTAGTTTTTCCATCACAGCACCAAATGCTGGAAGTAGGACATTATTTTTCAAACATCAACATTATCATATCTTCATTTGACAAACAACACTGCAAATTCTGTGAATAATATTTTAGAGGTTTTAAAAGGTAACATTAGTTAACATCAGTTGAATTAAAGTCAATGTAAAAACAAATACAAAAGCATTTATTTATCTGAGTTGATGTACTTTATTTTATCTGCTGCCTAATAATGAATATAAATTAAAAGTAAAAATCAATTAAATGAATGGAGTTAAAAACTAATATAGTTAAAATATATAACGTTTACATGGTTTTCTCACTGTTGAAGTGCTAGATCTATTACTTTGCATCATGTTTAATTTAAGACATTTATTTACTTTGAACATGTTTAATAAAGTAGTACACTAAGTATTTTTGGTTATTATATCTGTTCAAGTATTTTTGTAGCTTAGGTCCAAATCTTGATAATAACATACTGTATAATGTGATAAAAGCTTCAGCAATTAATCGCAACAAGAAAATTAGATACCGGCAGAAGTCAAAATAATACTAGGCATTGTGGGATGTGGTGTGTGTTTGTCTGAATAACATTGAGAAGCGGGTTATTACTGTGGTGTTAGTACTGTGCTATGGACAGGGTTTCGGGCAGCCGCTGTGATTGGATAATATACAAAAGTTGGCCCGGGGGTTTTACAGACTGTATCAAAAAGCTAAGGATCGGGGTGAAAATGAAAGTTTTCAGCAGAAATAACAAAACGGGAGGATGGCTGGAAATGGGTCTGAAATATGGGAGACTCCCGGGAAAAAGAGGAGAGTTGGCAGGTATGAGGTATATTGCTGTTTTACCATATTGTTGAACAAATGCACCATTGTACAAAAAAAAAAAGTGTTTTCTATAAAATAAAATTAAATAATCTTCTCAGAATCCAAACATTTAAACAAATGTTTGTGCTCTTGCATGTACCCACCTAGGTCTGTATCCTCCACAAAAAACTGGACGGACATCATCACCTTCCCCGAGGGCTGCAGGTCCACCCAGAACTCTGCATGCCCGTTGCCTTTTTTACAGCGTTCAGCAATGACGGAGACTCCAACAGTGGCCTCGGACAGAGCCTCCTCTGCTGTTTTCATCAGAACCACCTGTATGACACGACCCTCATAGATGTGTGCATCAAATGTGGATTTCCACGCAGGGTACATGGTGGGCTTCCTCTGGACCAGTGTTTTCCCCCGCTCTGGTGAACAAACAGAAGAACTTAGGCCATTTCTGTCTACATTCTAGTCTACATTTAGATAATCTCATAATGTCAACTGTCACTTGTAGGAAGCTTTATTGGTACCTTCAGGATTTTGCAGTGACTTTTTAATATATACTTGCCATCTAAAATGCTGTTGTGACAGCTTTTTTTTTTTTACAATTTATGGCATTATTTGCAAAAACTCCTGTTTTGCTTAAAAAATTCTCACTATTAACAAACCATTAACTAACACTTTTAACTCAATAAACTCCTAATTTATTGCTTATTAATAGTTGCTAAGGTAGTTGGGTTTAGGTGTTGGCTAGGATTGGAGATGTAGAATAAGATCATTCATAAAGGTAATTTCTAAGTACTCATAAACAGCCAATATGTTAATAATAGGTACAGTACATCACTAGTTAATACTGAAAATTGTTCTATTTACAAAATTCTTGTAGAAATGTCCTTTTTTATGTCAAGAACTACTGGACTCACAGAATCCTGGAGAGACCGCTTAATGTTGTGTCTGAAAGCCTGACTGACCTGTGCTGAGCGATTCCTTCATCTTGATGGCACAGAACGGTTGCTCTGTCATCGGAGGAAGTTCTCCCAGGTTAAATTCATTGAAGGCAATCCGCAGGAACGGAGCCATGGTGAGAGATCACTGTGTGCATAACAAATGGATGATGATCAGAAGTCGGCAGAAATTTCTCAACTACACAAAGTGCTTTTTATCTTAAATGCAGAGGCATTACTTGCTTTGACAAAAACACATTATTATTATTATTATTATGAGATAGACAGAGAAATAAGAGAGCTTTTTGGTACTAGAAAATAATAAAATGAGACATGTGATACAGATACATGAGAAAATAAGAGAAGCAAGCTATAATAAGGGATAAGTTCATACTTCCTCATATACAGGGGGTATGGGTAAATTATGAAATGTGTGTAAATTCATGCATCTTTGTTAACATTAAAATGTTATTAATAATTAACAACATTTGAAAATGTAATGCATTTTGTGGAAAATAATAATTTACTTTGATCACAAAAAGGCTTTTCATAAGCCCCCTCAAAACTTTCTTATGTGTCAGTATTATTGCTTCAACTTCCTATATTGTGAAAAGTCAAATCTTGCAAAACTGCTTGCATCACTCTCTGCAGCTGACCAGCTAGTTTTGTTTTCCCAATAAGTGCAATAGTAAAATTAAATAAAGAATTATTTGTCAAATAGCCAAATCATTTTCCAATCAGAGCAACTCGGGTAGGACCAGATTCCTGCTGGTCTTACTGTGAACACAATAGCTCACAGAGCTTTGACGGGATTCTGTGTCAAAATCGGCCAACTGCATACCTTTATTTGGTTTCACAATTTAATCACTGGTATTAAGTGTTCAAATGCACACTGCAGACACAATGACGATCACAAACTGCAGAAGTGCATTCTGTACATATTTATTCTGTCACATTACACAAGGAAAGCCATTATAGCTAAGACAAACAGAGACTTGTTTTTTCTGCAACATTCGTGCATTATTTTGTGAACTTGTTTTATGTGATTCCTACAGCCCTAACATGATCACAATTTACTTGAAAAAAATTGTTTGTTAACAAACATGTTTCTAGGTTATTAAGCTTATCATTGGAAAACACAGTTGATTTGCAAAAATTATAGCATTTAGTTAGATCAAAATTGCTTTGGTCAAGCAATGCTTAAACAAAGATCAACATTTTGAACAGTCCAAGGTTGTTTATGGATTTCATGTCAAACAACCTACAGATTATTAAAATGTAGTAATGTTATATTTATTTGTGACAATGGAAAGTGACATAGCCACACTTAAAGCACAGCCAGCTACTGTATCTGCATCTGTTCTCATGACTGATGATCATTGAGAGATGAAATGTAGAGCAGCTGAAGTGGGACCATTTCTAACACCAGCAATGATGGAGCACTGAGAGACTAATCAAGATGTAACCATTTGCTGATCTGCCAGTTTTAGGCCAGCAGATATGGGCCTACAAAGTGATGAGACTATTTAGACTGTCATTCAGTGACTTTGATATGTTTACAACTGCAGAAAGGGCAACCAGAACCAAAAACCTCCTACAACAACAACATCTAAGTAAAGATGCTACTCTCAGTATTACAGAGTATATTTTAATAAATAATCTGTGAACGTCATGTGCTTTGTTATATTTTCGTTTCATTATAATCATATTTAATCTGTTGCCTTTTAAACATGACATCATTTTACTGGTGTAAATGCTGGACAACCTGTTACCCACACAAAACCAACAAAAAGTAATCCATAAAGATCAAACATATTCAATTACTGATAGAGAACTGCTGAAAAAGGGAAAATCCCAAACACAACACAACTCCCATTGTAGGGCTGCACGATATTGAAAAAATCTAGCATTGGTATATTTTTTTATTTTGCGATAAATATTGCGATATGAATACAATTTTACCAGATGACTTTGTATCTTTATTTGGAAAAAAATTGTAATGTTAGATCAATTGGGTTGATTCTGCAGTGGAAATGTACGTGCTATTTGCTAAGGGTGTCAAAATTATTTGTTTCTTTGGTGCACTGTGATGCAGACGTGGACGATTTGGTACCGGTTTAGAAATAGATCATAAACGGTTATTACGTACTGATGTCTTTTACTGCATATGCGGTACATTGCAGTAGCTTACTATGACGAGGGAGGGGAGCGAGTAATTAAAACACTCCAACTACTTAAAATGTTAGAGCAAAAGCCCTGTTTCACTGTTATGGAGAAAATAAAAGTAAGCTCCATTTCTCTCTCTCTCTGTCTCTCTCTCTCTCTCTCTCTCTCTCTCTCTCTCTCGCTCACTCTCTTGCTCATTCTCTCTCTGTCTCTCTCTCTCTCTCTTTGTCTCTCTCTCTGTCTCTGTGTGGCCCTTTGACCTGCTGGCGTGAGGTAACATCTCCTCTCCTCTCGGCCCCCAAACTTTACTCAAGTCGAGCACGCTGACCGTGGGCCTGACGGCGAAGGATCGTACTGCGGTGCCGTTGTGCCAAATGCAAAAAAATCAGCTTTGAGAATGATGGTCTGCTGATGAAGGGCATCTGCATATGCTGAATAAGTTGGCGGTTCTGTGGGAACCCCTGATAAATAAAGGGACTAAGATGAAAAAACAATGAATGTTGAAAATATGTTATGAAGTTAATGTTTTAATTTTTAAAGATATAAAAATATCATACATGCATAAAAATGCTAAACATATTCAAATATATTGCGAAAAAAATAACATAAGCCTGAATTATTATTTTTACTTTAAAAATTTGGCATCCATAGATTAAGCTGTGTAGTACTGACCCTTTAATTTCCATTTTAGATTTTGTATTATATATTACATATATATTGTATTATATATTGTAATTATAAATTATATATATATATATTTTTTTTTTTTTTTACCAATTTGTTGCATCTAAGTCTAACATTTGTCAAACTGTATGTTGTGACAAATTTTATTTGATGTAAAATGAAAATGTACACTCTTATGGTGACTTCACCATAAATATTTGCAATCAGATTTTTATTTTTTTGTGCGAACCTATTTTTTATGAGATTGTGTGTAAATCATGTCACAACAAATGTGATATGCTGAGATATATTCATTATCAGTATGGTGACACTTAACTCGGACAGTCACACCACATGACAAAAATGTAAGTGGAGGTCTGTAAACATCATCTAAAGCTATAGGATGCTATGATAATATCTTGTCAGAAGAACAACATAAATGTTTATCTTTTTAACAAATACACCCCTATATTAACACAGAAATATGTAATTATACATGAATATGACAGGATCGCTGTGTCATGAACAGTGAGGACCAAACAACATCTACAGGTTCTTTAAGAACCCGACAGAAAAAAAAAAACTATGTGACTTTTGCCTATAATTTTTTTAAACAAAGCTGCAACTGTTTAATTTATGTTACAACAGCTCAGCTGAATTGCTGACAATCTGTATGAGTTTCATGATATTTAATTTAGGTATTATATCTAAGTCAAAATTTTGGTATCCTGCAACATTATTCTGTTGAGTGCATGACCAATATAAAATCATTTGAAAATGCTCAGAAAGCGAGCGGAATATTTACATTTGTTTATTTGCAATAAATGCTCATGTTGTTCTGTGCATGTACTTGAGTTTTTAAATGTACATTTCATTAATCTGATTTTTGTATTAAAGGATAAATTTGTATTAGAAATAATATATAAATATAAATATATTTAGAATTTTTAATACAAGAATTGTTCTGCTGTGAAGTAAAATATAATTGGAAAGTGTATGGAAAGCATTGTTAATGCACCGTGACGCACCGAGACATCAAATTGAACTGAGACCAGTGTGTGTACACCTCTACTATTTGCAGTGCGTTTCTGTATTTGCACGTTTTGAGTATTTTCATACAATCTATAGACACAATCAAGAAGAATATACAATTAAAAGAAAAGTGTTTTCATTTCCTGAGTCTAACAGTGTTTAAGTAAAATAACTGAATGATCAAAATAAAAATAACTTAATAAAATTAATCGTTGTTAAAGTCACAAATTGTAGAATTTCTTATGTTTGAATGCTTTTAAAAACCATTACACAATTGCAAGCATTAAAAACACATGCAATGTAATGAATGCAAAGTCATGATGAAGAATTATAATACAAACTCAACATTGCATATATCCTGTGATGTGTCTATTGTGAATGATCACTTTGCAATATTGATGCTGAACTGACATATTGTGCAGCAGCCCTATTCCATTTCATTCACACTTTAAGCTTATGATGATCATTTTTTTAAGTATGCGTAGTTGCAACACACACTAAAACACAAAAGGTTTCGTTGGTAAAACATGTTTCATGGGTAATGTGTTATAATCTTATGCTCACAAAAACATGTGGTGTCTAAAAGATTTAAAATGACAAGCCCTGAAACTTAATGCAATTGAACCAATCTCTCACATACTGTTAAGTCATTATACTGCGTAGATTTAGATCAATCCTGAAGGTTGAAAAAGAGCCTCGCTCCACAAATTATATAATACTCCATGAATTATATCATCATAAAATGGTAAATTGAGTTAATTGGAACCAGCTTTAAAAACACCCACACAAGAGAAAAAAATCTGGCAATGTTATCACTCTTCATAGTGATGATGTGTTATGTACTCCCTCAAAATCATGTATAAAAGAGAGAGAGTGAAAAAGATCAAAAATAATCTAGGACCACACACAGTGTGCAACAAAAATGCATTAATATCAGCTAATGAAACCCTCACTCAGTCAAACATAAACCTCTTACACTCAAAAGGCATATGACTACAGAAAAAATGTTCCCTGGAGAGAGTGGAAAAAATGAGCCCATGCAGCTTGGGAGGGGATGGAGAGAAAATGAGGAAAATGGAGAAAGGGGGAGGGAAGAAAGAAAGCACCGAGTTGCTAAAAATCCAGACTCTTTTGCTATTCATGTACTTGACTGACAGCTGTACTAATCTAGTCCATTCCATCATGTCTGTAATTCATGTTTTGTGTGTACATTTTCATTGGGTCTGCGTCATTAATGGGAAATGAATGAATGTGCCAGTCTCAATAGACAATGTGTGTGTATGTGTG